AATAAAATTAAAAACATCATCGTACTAGCTATCATCATTTTCGTCATCATCAACCTCGCCGAAGAACGGATCATGGAGGAGCTCGGCTGCCGACGGTCTCGCCCTCGGCTGACCCAGGCACTTCTCGACGAACGCCTTCACCTCCGGGTCCTTCACCTTTAACATGGCCGCCGGCCTCACCCCACTTGACACCTTCTTGTAAATCTTCGCCACGCTATCGCACTCACTGTATGGAATCTCCAAAGTCACCATCTCCAGCACGCACATCCCAAACGAGTATATGTCGACCTGCTCCGTGTAGTCCTCCTCGTACAGCTCCGGCGCCATAAATTCTGGCGTTCCGAGGATTGAGTGGGCCGAATGGTTCTTCCCCACGATTGCTGCCAAACCCAGGTCGCCAATTTTAACCTGTTTCACGAGAAACCTGCAAGTTAAAATTTTGCCGGAAAACAAACGGAAAATTGAAATGTTACCTGACCAATGTTGCCATTGACGAATACGTTGCTGCAATTGAGATCCCTGTGGATGATACAGGGCTCGTGTGTGTGCAAATAATTTAACCCTTTTAAGATCTGCTTCGACCATTTCTTCAACGCCTTCATCGACACTTGCCGGTGCTTCTTCCGGTACTCCCTTAAATTACCGGAGGTACAGACCTCCGTAATGAAATTCAGGGTGTTGTGATGGTCGTCGCTCCAGACGTTGAAAAGCGAGATGATGTTCTTATTGGCTAGGGTTCTTAGCAATCGGACTTCCGAGTAAAGCCTGTCAACCATAGCCGGGTCGTCGGAGAGACTCCGAAGCTTCACCTGGTTCCATGCAACCTCTATCCCTTCTTCTTGATCGAATGCTCTGTACACCTTCTTGACGGCGCCGGAACCGAGCAGCTCATGGTAACGGCCATACCGCCCGCTCGGATCAACCTCGACGAACGGCTCTGAATCCTTATCGGACTGATCGGTATCAACTCCATTCATCTGAAATCAGACTCCATAATAAAATTAATTAGGAAAAAAATGGCTCAAAAAAACCCTAATAAAAATCAAACTAAATAACAGAAAATTGAACCCCCCTAGATTTTAAACTAGAAAACAGTGAACAAAATCAGATTACCATAAAAAAGCTGCGAAGATCACAGAAATTTTCTGGGCAACCAAACAAGAAGAAAACTCAGTAATAGAAAAAGAAAAAGCACTGTGAGCTTTGAGAAGGGTATTTATAGGGGGGGAGTAGGGTTAGGGCTTAATTAGGGGTTAGGTGGATATAACTAAGGTCAATTCTAGGGTTAAGCGATTTTTTTATGTTAGTAATACTAATTAATTATGGATTAGGAAAGTTAGACGGTTTGGATTAGTAAGATTTTTATTGTTATTTTTTATTATTTTTAGTTTAATTTTATAAGATCGTGTGAAGATGTAGTACCAGCTTAAATGAAAAATTTTAAATTTATTAATAATATTTAAATAATTTTATAACAGTTCTATTATTTTATGTTAGTCAGGATACCTTTTTTTTTTCATTTTTTTCCTAATTTTATTTGTTTATAACCGATGGGAAATTAATATAAGGGAAAAAATAGATTTCTTTCCTTTTTTTTATTTTATGAAATTAAACCCTAAAACTAAGTTTTGGCAAATAAAACCTCTAACTGACTTTTTATTATTTATTTTTTTGTAAAAATTTATAGATTAATAAAAAATGATATAATTAT